TGCCAATGTTTTCTTCTAACAGTTTCAGAGTTTCAGGCTTCACATTGAGGTCTTTGATCCATTTGGAGTTGACTTTTATGCAAGGTGAAAGATAAGGGTCTAGTTTCATTCTTCTACAAAACAACCAAGGAAGTGAAGAAAAAACCCACAGAGTGGGAGAAAACCTTTGCCAGTGACACTTCTGAAAAAGGTGTAACATCCACAGTATACAAAGAACTCAAAAAAACAAAGAATCAAGAAAGCAAGTGACCCAATTAAAAGATGGGACTTCTCAAAAGAAGAAATAAAGATGGTTAAGAAACATCATAAAAAGTGTTCAACCTCATTAATAATTAGGGAAATGCAAATCAAAACCACTTTAGCATTTCATCTTACCCCAGTCAGACTGGCTAAGATCAAGAGAACAAATGCTGAAGAGGATGTGGGGAAAGGGGAACACTCATCCACTGCTGGTGGGATTGCAAACTCATGCACCCCCTATGGAAAGCAGTGTGGAGAACTCTTAAAAATCTAAAATGAACCTACCATTTGACTCTGTTATATCACTCCTTGGCATATATCCAAAGGACTCATCCTCTTGCAGAGACACATAAACTCTTTTCACAATAGCTAAGAGATGTAAGTAACCTAATGTCCCTCAACTGACAAATGAATAATGAAAATTCACTCACACATTTATACAATGGAACTCTACTCAGTGGTAAAGAAAGATGAAATCACGAAATTTGCAAGTAAATGGATGGAAATAGAAACTGTTATACTAAGTGAAATAATACAGACTCAATACATATGTGTGTGTATGTGTGTGTGTGTGTGTGTGTGTGTGTGTGTTCTCCCTCATATGTGGATCCTAGCACCAAATTTTTATATGTGAGTATGTATCCTGATGTAACGGCAGGAACCAGGACAATGAAAAGGAACCAGGGAGGTGAAGGGAAAGAAAAAACATGAAAGAAAATAGCAGGAAACAGGCATTAAAGAGAAGAGCAGAAGGAGACGGGTGTTACTAAGGAAGAATGGATAAAATGGGGGTATTTAAATGGGAGGCGGAGGGAGGGTTATAGAAGGAACTTTAGGGATAAAGGGAAAGAAAGAGCTCAAGAGAGGTGGGACCATAGGAGACTGGTAATATCAAGGGAGAAATGGGAGAAAGGGGCACACTTTACATGGAGAAGTCATGGTGCAAGGACCAGACAGGGAGAGAGGGGAGAGATAAAATGCCTAGCTAGTGTAAAAACCCAGAGGAAATCATATTAGTCCAACAACCTAACGACAAATTACATGTACGATATCTCTAAATGAGTCCATGTGTTTAGCTAAAAGCTACATAACAAGAAACAGTGCCAGAAAGGAGAAACCTTCCTTTGAGTTGTTGGCCAGAGTGGTCCATTACACAGGATATTGCCACAGCTCTTGATTGTCTCCCAGAACATGAAAGTAAGACTCTACTGCTGAAGTCAGAACATACTTTGGACACAGGATTTGGAGCAATGGAGCTGGAACTGACCTGGAAGCCACGTTCCCTGAAGGCTAGATCTCATAGCTTTGGAAAGCACTATGCTAGGTGCTAAAGAAGATGATCATTTGATGGTCCCACATCAGCTTCAAGACCAAATAACCATATCAGCAACCTGCACAGCACATGATACTGGTGCAGTAGTGGCATTTTTATCTTGAGGCAATCAACAGCTACCTAATTGGACTAAAAGCCCACTCAATGAGAGGAAACTTATGTGTAGTACTGTAAACATAGACAAATACACATGGCTGGAAAGGTCATAGATCTTAGAGAAAACCCCAAGACTGTCACAACCCTAGTGACATATATCATATGGCAAATGTAATTTCTTACTATGTGCAAAATAGTCACTACTCATCAAAGACGCTTCTTTTGCACAAGACAGAGATTATTACAGAGTTCCACAACTGGTCACACACACAGATATTGTCTGTGAATTGCCCAAGTCTAAGTGGCACAGGTACAACTCAACCTCTACACCCAAGGATTACGGAACACAGAACAAGGGATAAAGAAGACAATAATGAATATCTCAGTTCTCATTAATGAAGCTCCCTCATGCAAGAGAGGGCCAGGAACACAAAAGGTCACAAATATCGAAGTGTAGAGAATAAGAGTCTGCAGAATGCTGGTCCTTGGACAGGACTCCTATATTAAACTTCAGCCACCCAGGGCTCAAGCACCATTGCAGAAGAGGGGATGGAAAGATTGTAAGAGCCAGGGAGGAGGTGCATAACCATATGGAAATAGAATCCTACAACAGTAATCAGTCCTGGCAACTGATTACTGCTGGATGAGGAAGAGTTGATCTTCCTAAAGCTTGAGACTCTAGATAAGCTGACTAGACCTCAATGGATGAACTTGTACTGAGGGACATCTGGGGACACTAATTTGATACAATAGGCCTTATGACAAATGACAGAATGTACAAATTCCAGTGGGGGGCTATGGGAGTGCACCAGTGGGGAAGGGGGTATAAAGACAATTAAGATTGGTTGAGATGTTCTGCATGAAATACACAAAAATTCAATAAAAAGGAAGTGAATATAAATCTCATTGTCTAACTCATTTATTGCATAATTTCAAAAATTGCCAAATTTATAATAGGTAATTTATATTCTCAACCTAGTTTACTAAATCTAAGTAATGTACATCAAATTAGGATTGGTTTTGCTTTCATATATTTTACCAGCAATCTACTCAACAATGGTTGAGTAGTCATCTGCCGTATGTATGTCAAAATATAACTAAGCCAACATCATTCTTTATTAACAACCTATATCTAAACTGGACAGAGCATACTTCTTAAAAGCATAATTACAAAAACTATCTTTTTATTACTTTCATACTGATGCCACAGTTCTTGTGTTGAATATTATGAAAGGGGAAAGACAACTGTCTTAGTATAATAAAAAATCCAGAAAATATTGTCAGGTTACATGACAGTAAAGTGAAAAACAGCCCAAGTGTTTGAAGAAGCAATCTGCTAAATAAATGTAATACCACCAAGCTAAATGGGCTGTTATGCAAGAGTAGCCCTTCAAAAGACCTTGAAATGAGGAAACAACCGAGAGGAAGAACAAATATTTTCCATTTGAGAATAATTCTATAAACCATAACAAAAAAAGGAAAACTCAAAACTATTCAACAAACCAAAGAATGAGGAAGAACCAACCTGTTCATTTCAGCTTTAAAATTCTTGGTTACCCAAATCTCTAAAATAGCTACACGTCCAATAAAATATAGTTACCACAGTTTTTAAACTCTGTGTCTGGATTTAAGTGTAATGATCAGAATTTGTGAATTGAGTGGTCTTGAAACAAAAGATACACGTTAATAGACAAATTGAGAATGATTTGACAAAGAAAATAAAAGGATAAAAATCTATTAAATAGTACCTGTTCTCAGTAAAAACAACACCAATTTCCAATGTAAATGGTATTATTAAAGATTATATTCTACCTTTGTCTCTGGGGATTTGGGAAATAAACATTTAAATTATATACTTTCAAACTTTTTAATTAATAAAAATGTCTGCCAGGAAATAATTTTTAAAGCATCAAAAAGCCAAAGGACAAGATGTTCAAGACTGCAGAGTATCTGCGAAAGAATACAACAAAGGAACAGCTTTATCAAGGCAGGCAGAGTTCAAAATAGAATTCCTTCCTTGTAATGAATACACTAAGCCCACCAGCAGTTTGGTGCTTACCCTGTGTGTGGTAGTAAAACAAAGGGGAAAGCCTCACGCAGAAAGCTGAATGGCCCAGAGAAAACCTATGTGTTGACAAGAGCCTAAAGGCACATGCAGGTACGCATCTTTTATATTGGATGTGATACACTTACATGGCCCCTGTTGAATCTCTTGGGGACCAACAGTAAAGCAAGTTTAGAACTTCAAATCTTGAGACATCTATAGCAAGATGCTGATCCAATGTGGCTCCAAATATCTTCTGTTTTCCTGGCTCACCTGAAGAGGAAAAAACACTACAGAGGATGTGGGAACTGAATTTCTTTATGTAGTTTCTTCTAGAGCAACTGTCTGAAAGGTAAGGCCCAGTCCTTTGTGAAGTCTAGAGATGAAACACTTGAAGGACTAGTGAAAACAAAATTCAAATGAAAAGATGGAGTGAGATATTGAAAGGGGAAATACAAAAGCAAAAGATACTCATTTTAATAAACCGGTGTTTCTAGCCCTTAGCGGGAGGAGGCAGAGAAAGAGAGGAAAAAATGCCCAGCAATTTCTCCCTCCCAGTCCTCACCTTGGCTCTTACTGAAACCTCATGAAGTGCCTAACTTCTGACCACAATACAATGAGGGAGTTTGCCGGCAGTACTGCAGAGAAGGCTGAGCTTTGTCAAGTCTCCCTCCCTGGCTATATGGCCTTGTTAAGCAGCAGGGAGGTCTCTCAGATAATACCTTTTTCTAAGAAAAGATTCTGGTGGAATATAAATTGAAACAATAAAGAAAGAGAAAAATGCATTGAACTTATACAAAAATGGAACTCACAGCAATATACCATACTGACGAATTTTAACTAATTATGTTTTTCAAAAAGGGTGATATAGATTCCATGAAATAAGAAATCAGGACCAAATAGGGTCGGGGAGAGGCAGCTTCAAAATATACTAAATACAAGTTGCTTGATTAACCCTTATAAGAAAATAAACTAAACACAAGTTGCTTGGTTGACCCTTATAGGAAATATTATCCCTGTAAAACTAAAATTAGCAGAATCAAATCTGATGTATATTACCACACAGAAAGCATGAAACTGTACAATATTATTAAGATTCATTTTAACTAACTTTTAAAGTAAATAGCTTAATATCTTGCTATTATTATGGTTATTCTCTGAAAGAGTCTAGGACATAAAACTTTCTTTCCAAATGTACTCCATGATAACCAAGATTTACTTGAATTATGCCTGGTAAAAATACCAGAATTTCTGCAAAGTAAGACTGGAGGATGATTAGATCCTTACCTGACGTGGCTGTTCATTCATCCGTTGTGGGTCTGATTTCACTTTATTGTTAGGGTGGTTTGTGACTTTGGTTACTGGTTGCTTGAAAATGGATGCAGTTTGTCTAATTGGCAATGTTGTATTCAAGTCTGGTTTACCCTGTGAATACAAGTACATTTTCATTAATACTCTATGTAAACAAAACTGGATCGATTCCTTTTCTAACTCAAACTCCATGACTAAACAAGGCATTCCAAAATTCTCCATCTGTATTCGTATTTTAAATACTCTCAGTTACATTTTTAGCATTTATTATGTAAGACATACATAAAGTGTTTCCATAAGGTACACTTTTAAATTAAGCAAATTACAAAAAAAAAATTTTAAAAGCCAGGCATGGTAACACACACCTTTAATCCCAGCACTTGGGAGGCAGAGGCAGGTGGATCTCTGTGAGTTCAAGGCCAGCCTGGTCTACATAGTGAGTTCCTGGACAGCTGGGGCTACAGGGAGACCCTGTCTCAAAAAGACAAAAAAAAAAAAAAAAAAAAAAAAAAAAAAGAAAATTAAAGAATATATTGACAGTCATAATTTGATTAGCAAAGAACTAAGGACTTTTACATGAACAAATATTAGCATTAAATATATTTGAGAATTAAAATGTAACCTGATCAGCAGTGAGGACATCAGACTTAACATAAAATCACACTAAATTCCTGAAACCAAAACCCCTTTTAGAAAATTTTGATAAAGTAAGAAGGCCGGACGTGCCTAAATTAGAACATCAAAATTTGAACACTGATGATAAAAATGGAAAATTGCACATGACCTCATAGAATAGACTACAGTAAAAACAGAGGTTTCCTAAAAGGTATTGCACAAAATTACCTTCAATCTACAAGGTATATATGAAAACCACTAAATTTCATCTGTATACTTGGGTCCCATCACCGAGTCAGATCTATCTAATTATGAATATCCAAAATTGAAAACACAAAAGCCAAAACACTTGTGATGCTAAGCATTCTACATAAGGGATAATCAACCTGTATTCTTGTTTGTTTTGTACCCCAGGCTGCAATGTGAATTGGGGCTGTCTTGCCTCCCAAGTACTGGCATCGTAAGTGTGCACCAGGTCTAGATGGCCTTCCTTGTTTCCATCATACAGCAAGCTTTATAGAAGATTCTAAATTGAAACTTCAGAAAGCCAAGTACCATATTTATCCAAATTTAATCACCCAGTAAATAAAATTTCAGCTGTGTTTTAGTGAAGTCAAATTGTAGAAAAGAATTATTAAGTTCATTTGTCAATACCCTAACAATAAAAACAGGAAAAAAATTATTATTTTATGACAAAAACATAAAGTCATATATATCTGAAAGGAATTCATGCCTAACATTTTTATATAAATCTACTAGATGAACCTATACTTGTCAAACATTTATCTTTATTGCTATACCCAGTCAAAAACTATAATGTCAAGTTCCATATGGCCAAAGACTGAGTATACATCAGAATCACCCAGGCTTGTTAAAAAGGATGACTGGGCCTCATCCCCAGTATTTGATCCAATAGGGCTGAAGTGAGGCCAGAGAATTGGCATCAGTATACTGTCTCCAGTGATGATATGATGCCACACAAAAGCATTGCTCTGAACAGATTGCCAAGTGGTGGCACCTAGACCAAGTCTAACAATATATATGTATCGCTCAGTTTTAAGGGCCTTTAGTAAATTAAGCCTGGAGTCCTCACATAAAACCCAGAGTTCTAACTTCTCTAAAACACTGAAGGATGGAGAAAGGCTTGACTGGACTGGGTCTAGCAACAGGCATGACTGATGAGTCACAGCTGCCTACTGGAGGTACCAGGTCACATCTACATTACCTGTATGGGCCCTATAAGCATGGAATCTGTGACCACTGCTTAAAGAATACTAGCAAGCCTAGAGGTAAGTATTACTGTCCATTAACCTGACAGCTATGACAACCACAGTATTATCTGTATTCTCTATTAAACATGACTTCACCCCTTCTCTTTGATTCACAGCATGCATTCCTGCATTCTTGTAATTCCTCTACCTTAATTTTCTCCACATGTATGTGCTTATCCTGACATTCATCTCAAACAACTACTATTTTTTGACATTTTACCTTATCTTTAATAATTTATCAGTGCGCAAATTTGACTGGCAGACTTCAAAATAATCACCTAAGGATGCCACCTTTAAAAGGTGGGCCAACTAGATGGCTCAACAGCAAAAGGCACTTGCTGGCAAGCCTAATGATCTGAGTTCAATCCCAAGAACCCACATGGTGGAAAAAGGAATTTTTCAAGTTGGCCTCTGACCTTCACACATGTGCCATGGAATAGGGGCATCCCCCCACCTACACACACAGAGTAAGTAAATATTTTAAAAAAAAAGTATGAGGCTCAAGAATGTGCTTTGAGTATATGCATGTATGTTTTATATGCATGTTTGGTGCAGGTACACATGGACATATGTGAGCACATGTGTAGAGGCCAGAGACTGACATTGGGCATCTTCCTCAATCATTCCCCACCTTATTTCTTGAGATAAGGTTCCTACTGAACCTGAAGCTTACCAATTCTGCTAGCCAGGCTGGAACCTCCTATCAATGCCTCCCCAGCACTATATAGGTGCAGGATGGGCCTGGTTTTTGGTTTTTTTTTTTAATATGAGTATTTTGCCTGCATGTATGTAAGTGCACCACGTGTGTGCAAACCTGTGGAGGCCAGAAGAGGGTGAAAGATCCCTTGGACCTGGAATTACAGATGCTTGTAAATCACCGTGTAGGTGATGGGAACCAAACCCAGGTCCCCTGCAAGAGCAGCCAGTGCTTTTAACCTCTAAGCCATCTCTCCAGCCTGAGGCCTGGGTTTTTTGTTGACACATGGATACTGGGGATCTTACTCAGGTACTTATACTTGTGGAGCAGGCACTTTACTAAGCCATCTCCCAAGCCCCAAGGGTGTGCATTTTTAAAATCTCCCCTGGTAATTCTGTGATGAATAGAAGGATTGAATATTTCTGGTTTATGGCATGTAGAACATCTGAGGCCCTAAACAAAATCATCCAACCTATGGTCAACGTTCATTCTTAAAGAATCTTAACATAGTTCTTAAGAAAAACTATTGCTATTGCTAATTAAAAAGTGTGTGATTACCTAATTGTGTCCCTAAATACTGTTTGGTTAACACTGATGTTCTTCAATAAAGAACAGTATGTTCTGCTTTTGCTACAATGAATGTGGCATCAGAAGACAAAAATAATTGTAAATGTTTATAGAAGCCAACATTTAAGCCAGAGATTATCACTGTTACAAAGGAAGCACCAGGGACTATTCTAAATCATCCTAACTATGAACCCCAAATCCACAGACTGAAGTATGGAAAATGTGGGGTTACTCGTGTTACAACTGTTAAGGCTGTTGTTTTTGTAACAACATATGATCTTGGTTCAATAAAGAATTAAAATTAGATGGTCTTGCTAAAATATTCAAGATACAGTTAGGTTCCATTGTCTAATGAGGCAGTGGTAAAAGATAAAAGATATTAAAGAATGTACCATAGCATCATTCTTCTCTTGATCATACCTCCATTTTTTTAGTACATTTTTTCTTCCTTTTAACTGGATGACCAGCGTGACAATTAATTTTGTATTCCAAAACAGTATCATGAGCAATCTGTAAAACTGGACTAGCTAGTTTCTCAGAAGCTATCATAAACAATAAATTGTATTACCACTATCCCCTGAGGACTGCTAAAGAGTCACTTAATTCATAACCAAATGCTACCTGTGTTTCCCTAAACCACCAGCAATCTGTCATAAACCTAGGTATTAAAGAGCGATCACTCTGGCATGAGACAGGCTAGAGCTCTTCATGTAATCGAAATCTCTACTGAAAAAAAAAATTGGCAAATACTGGAACTGAAAGTTTAAAATTTTATGTAGTGAACAGGCCAGCCCTTGAATGGAATTTTAATGAACTTTAAACCTGTGTGTATAAAAGGCTGAAAGTACTGTTTTTTTAAAAATCTACTCTATCCCTCTAGCTGCTGAGAATATAAAAAATAGATTATTTAAAATTTTTCTATGTTAATGAGGAAAACAAAAAAATTGTTAAATCTAGAGAAGTAACCGTGGCATTTAATACAAAAGCAGATTTCTCTTTCTTTTCTCAATGACCTTTCATAAAGGCCAAGAACACTAAGACATAAGGAAATGCAGTGAAGGTGACTGTGCTAAGGGGGAACCATTGGGTCTCTTTACCATGGAACCTTCATGCTAGGTCCAGAATAACTGATAGGGTGATGAAGAGCACTTACCATCAACCAGCAGTTGCCAAATGTTTTGTATTCTTACCCCCTCAGAATCTTAAAAGACATGCACCTCTTCTGCACTATAAAGCTGACATCAAGAGTTCATAGTTTGCTTAATGTAGATAATTACTAATGCAATTATCAGAACTTAATACTTATTTACACTGTAATAAACCGATGTACTACTCTAAAATTTAACCATCTGCATATGCCCACAATCGACTCTTTATACATGAGCAAACATTTCAGTAGTGTAAACTTTATTTATTGTTTTCTCTTTGAATTAATAATTCCATTTCCAAAGTTATTTCCTATTTCAAACTTGAAAATCTTTATTGATATTCATGAGGATATTTTTCCACTTTCTGTGACCATAAAGCTCTCAATGATAAAAGAAAAAAAAAATCAAGTGTGTTGCCAGGCGTGGTGGCACACTCCTTTAGTCCCAGCACTCGGGAGGCAGAGGCAAGCAGATCTCTGAGTTCCAGGCCAGCTGGGGCTACAGGGAGACCCTGTCTCAAAAGGACAAAAAAAAAAAAAAAAAAAAAAATAAAAAAAAAAAAAAAAAAAAAAAAAAAAAAAAAAAAAAAAAAAGAAAAAATGAAAAAAAAAATCAAGTATGTCATTAGTACACCAAAAATGGTATGTTACAATTGTTAATGTAACTTCTAAACATAAAAAATAACTTCAGGTGTACAATGTAGTTTAACAGAGGTTTAAGAATTTTTGTTTCACTTTTGATTTTTGATATGGGGTTGTGCTATATTGCCTAACGTAGTCTTCAAATCCTGATTTCAAGTGATCCTCCTGCCCCACC